GCAAAGTTGTTTTCTTATCAAGCAAAGAAATTTGGACGGTTTCTGAGCTTATAGTAGAGAGACTAATGAACTGAAGTACTTAAATTTGTAAGGAGTGAAGTGAGCATTTAGAGGTTAGACTGTTGTATTGGAGAAGTAGTAAGGAAATGGAAGAATAACAAGAAGATGAAGGAATCAACTATCACACCGCTATTCATCCGGTTGTTACATTGCAAGTAAATGTAAGTAAGTTCATTGTATGTTTGGATGTGTCCGAGAAACCCATTCAAGTGGGTTGGGTATGTCGCAGGCTGGCATGGCATATACTTTAGCTGAGCGAAGTCCGCCTACTTACCTAGTTAGTTAACTAGAATGTAGAAGGTTTGGTAGAAGGAAAATTAGTTGAGTGAGCACTGCTTATTGTACCGAAAGTGGGCACAGACCCTTTCATAGGTAGAGGAGCATGTCTCAGAGGAAATACCGTATATCCAGGAAGTTCCCGACTAGGCTCTAATGTGGGCGAAAAACCGGAAAAGTTGCAAGGACTAGGCCTGAGCGATGTTAAAGGGCCTAGTGTTCACGAAAGTAGAGCTGGAGCAAAAATGATAAAACTCAAGTCGAGAACTTGCTATGTGGATTGAAGACAGCTTAGAAACCGAATACAAATAGTGAAAGGTAAGCAAAGGTTCCGAATGAGATGGAGAATATCTACAAGCAGTCGGCATGGCGTACTCCGTATGATAGCCTCCATGCCGGAACTGCTGGAGGCTAGCAGTGGCTTAGCCCTTCTGAACAGGTCCTAGAATAGAAACCTAAAGGAAAATAGGGTTCGATCCGCTGAGAAGGCAGTTTTATGACCCCTCTCTACTTCTTGGCTTTTCTCTCGGCGACTTTTCCTACTAATTACTTTCAACTTCAACTTTACAGACTGCTCGTATTGAGTGCCACCATCAATTTTTTGGACCTGATCACAAAGTCCTAGGGTTGTAGTGTGCGGAGAATCCAAGTATCATCCGTACTTTGAGGTTATGTTATTCCTTCTTGTGAAGTTTACCCAACTGACTACTTCCCAGTTATTCTTCCGACACACAGCTGCTGTTGTTAGTGGTGTCCCTTTGCTCTTTGATTCAGTTTCATACACCTCCATGACCTCAAGCTCGTTCTCGTGTGGTCACAAAGTCGTCCGTTTTACGTGATATTCCAAAGACCATTAACAATTTACAGCATTACTTCGAGAATGAGCGTATCCCAGATGCGAGTAAGGGTCGGAAGATTCTGTATATCCCTCCAAAGCAAACTCAGCTTAACATACCGTTTATAAATAAGAATTTTGATTTTCATGGAAGACCT